TGTTTGAGATGATGGATATGCTAATTACCCTGATCTGATCACTATACATTATATGTACTGAAATATCACCATGTACCCCATGAATATGTATAATTATTATTTGTCAATCAAAAAAATAAAATTTATCACTGGGCACTGTGATACGTATCTACCGTCCCAGCTACTCAGGAAGCTGAGGCAGGAGGGTCTCTTGAGCTCACAAGTTCAAGGCCAGGTTGAACAATATAGCAAGACCCCATTTCTGAAAAAAATATAATAAATACTTTTTTTAAAAAGAAACTAACCTTCGCATTGCATATGACTTACATAAACTGAAAGAGAAGAGAAAGTAAGGCAAGTGAATCAAGGGCTGCGGACCCAAGGAGTCCAGAGAGTTTGTGGAAAGCAACAGAAAGGGAACGTCCAGGATGCACTGAGGAGGACACGGTGTGGCTTCCATGGTATCCCTGCCAAGAATGCCTGACCTGAAACAGTCATGAAGAAATAAATTTGAACAAACCCAAACTGCGGGATGCCACAACTTGCCTATACTTTTTCTTTCTTTCTTTCTTTCTTTCTTTTTTTAGACAGGGTCTCATCCTGTCAGCAACTTGCAGCCCCAGCCTCCTGGCCTCAAGTGATCCTCCCACCTTGGTCTCCAGTAGCTGGGGCTACACACACAAACCACCCCAAAGGCCAGCTAACTTTTTTTTTTTTTTTTTTTTTGGAGAGATGGGCTCTCTACCTAATGTAAATTTCTTTTATGTTTAAACACTCCAGGTACAAATGCCATACTTGTACCCAGGTGAGGTCTAAGGTTGTTAATATTCTTGTGTGTGCTAACAAATAAGCAGAGCTTTCTGCATAACCTAACTCTTGCAGACAAACTTCTTGTAATATGCCCAATTTCCTATTTTCTTAGAAAATCCAATCTATATCTCTAGGGTTTCAGATACCACATACTCTTATTTCTGTCATATCAAATGAATAATTTTATTCTTCAGCTTCTTAAAATAGATTCAGTAAGCCTTTGCTCATTTCTAGCTTTTCTCTCTCTCTCTCCTGATCTCTTTGATCAAGATTTTCTGTCCACTCTGGAATAATAATCCAGAGGTAATTATAACTTCTTATCTTCTTTTGCCCAAAAGGAACCAATTTATCACAAATTGTCAGGGATTCCATCTTTAAATTATCAAGAATCCAATTACTGACAGAGACCAGGAATCTTCCTCCAATTAAGGTGATTGATTTCTTAGCACAGCCAGTAGCATTTCACGTTTTTATATTCATTCCCATCAAATGTAAAAAAATTCTTCCTTGTTTTATTCTCCTTCCAAAGAACGGGATACAACAAACATTAATCATGGAGGGCAAGGCCAGACCTTGTAATACCTTTGGCAGAATTGGACAACATCTAATGTTTTGTCCATTTTTATGTGCCTTCAGCTTTTAGAGTTTCTTCAGCTCTAAAAGAAGGGAGGAGGGACTACATCTTTGTTACCTCACATAGTTCATGTAAGAGCATGCCAAACCTTCCAGCTTCAGGTAAGTTATGATGAGACAGCATTAGGTATTTCAGTCAATGGGCTCTAGCAGGGGAATCAGACCTTTGGGACAGAACACAATTTTGTTTCTCGTGCAAAGAACAGAATTGCAGTATTGGAGACAAAGAAATGCATAGAGGTAAACACAAGAACAAATTTGTTTTTTCTTAGTTGTATGGCATTAGAATGATTACATGGTGTAAATTATTTCATTTCATTTTATTTATTCATTTTGAGATGGAGTTTTGCTCTTGTTGCATGGGCTGGTGTGCAATGGCAAGATCTTGGCTCACTGCAACCTCCACCTCCTGTGTTCAAGCAATTCTCCTGTCTCAGCCTCCTGAGTAGAATTACAGGCATGCGCCACCACACCCAGCTAATTTTCTATTTTAAGTAGAGATAGGATTTTGCCATGTTGGTCAGGCTGGTCTCAAACTCCTGACCTCAGGTGATCTGCCCACCTCAGCCTCCCAAAGTGCTGGGATTACAGGCATGAGCCACCACGCAAAGCTTTAAATAATTTTAAAAGAAAAAAAAACTTCCAAGTTCAGTTTGGGGAAGAAGAACAACTTAAAGGCACCAAAGGAACATCAGGCAGCCCCTCTCACAGCCTCTGCAAGGCTGCAAAGACACCTGTCGATCTACTTTGCTTTCCATTTTAATCTTCAAGGAAAGTTCTGGCTCCTTCTGCTTGCTGACATAGAACGCTATATCCTTATCTCCCCTTTCATCTCTCTCTACATGGTCAGCAGGTTGGCATCTGTTCATTTTCTCAAGACATACAAAGGTCAAGTTTTTTACTGTGATGAAAATTTTCCAGTAATCTCTATTCCAGAACCTCCCCATGTGGCCACACACCAGTGATCACCCCTTGTCCATATGCAGTAGTTAACCATTTCCAAAAGCTTTCAGATTTATAAAGATGGTTATGGGGAAACTCACACTATACTAAATTTCCTCATTCAACCACAGAATCATATTTGACCATTTTAGTAGAAAATGAAGTTGGATACTAAGCTCTTGAAAAAAAAAGACACATACATACACACACACACACACACACACACACACACATAAAAGTCCATGTATGTGGCAGTGGCTCATGCCTGTAATTGCAGCACTTTGGAGTGGTGGCAGGTGCCTGTAATCCCAACTACTTAAGAGATTGAGGCAGGAGAATCATTTGAGCCCAGGAAGCAGAGGTTGCAGTGAGCCAAGATCACACCACCACACTCCAGCATGGGCAACAGAGCCAGATCCATCTTTACAGGGCAAGGTGGCTCATGCCTGTAATCCTAGCACTTTGGGAGGCCGAGGCAGGCAGATCACCTGATGTCAGGAGATCAAGACCATCCTGGCTAACACAGCGAAACCCTGTCTCTACTAAAAACACAAAAATTAGCCAGGCATGGTGGCATGCACCTGTAGTCCCAGCTACTCAGGAGTCTGAGACAGAATCACTTGAACCTGGGATGGGGAGGCTACAGTGAGCCAAGATCACACCACTGCACTCCAGTCTGGACAACAGAGCTAGACTCCATCTCAACAGCAACAAAACAGTTCATGTTATGTGAGAGAGTGTACCTCTCTGCCTTTACTCCAAGCTCAGTTTACAATACTCAGGAAGATCGGTGTGACCTATGTTAAGATTTTTCATTCAGCCAGATGCAGTGGCTCTTGCCTCTAATCCCAGCACTTTGGGAAGCCAAGACAAAAGGATCACTTGCAGCCAGGAATTCAAGACCAGTCGGGGCAACATAGCGAGACCCTGTCTCTACAAAAAATTTAAAAAGTTAGCCGGGTGTAGTGGCATACAACTGTAGTTCCTACTACTGGGGAGGCTGAGGTAGGAGGATCATTTGAGCCTAGGAGGTCGAGGCTGCAATGAGCTAGGATCATGCCACTGCACTCCAGCCTGAGTGACAAAGCGAGCCCCTGTCTGAAAAAAACAGAAGACTTCACTGGGTAAGCCGGCTTTACTGAGCACCTTGAAGGGCAAGGCAGGACACTGGGTGCTGGAGATAGAGAACCATGGTTCTTTCCATGCTGCTCTATGGGGAAAGCACATAAGCAGCCACTTTGGCACCAGTAAACAACAAAACAGTGATGGGAGAAAAGGATCCCCCCGGTGAGAACAAAGTAAAAGAACATTGTCCCAATGGAAAGGATGCCAATGAGGTTCGGAGGAGGTTGGCTGGTGCCATGAAGGCTGGTCTTCCTGAGTGGGCACAGAAACTGCAGGCTTATGTCATAGTGTGGGCAAATGCATGCCACATTCCAAGAATCATAAACACAGGAGAGGTGCAAGAGGCCAGGCCCCATGCTGCAAAGTCCTGAATGCCAGGTTAGGAGTGTTTGTTTTTTTTTTCTTTTGAGTCAGAGTCTCACTCTGTTGCCCAGGCTGGAGTGCAGTGGCACGATCTCAGCTCCCTGCAACCTTCACCTCCCGAGTTCAAGAGATTCTCCTGCCTCAGCTTCTCGAGTAGCTGGGATTACAGGCATGTACCACCACGCCTGGCTAATTTTTGATTTTTAGTAGAGAAGGGGTTTCACCATGTTGGCCAGACTGGTTTTGATTTCCTGACCTCATGATCCACCCACCTCGGCTTCCCAAAGTGCTGGGATTGCAGGCGTGAGCCACTGTGCCCAGCTGGAGTTCTGGACTTTTTATGCATCAACAAGGAGCAAAAGGGGATGTTATTGTCCAATGTTGGGCTATGGTGGGAGGGGTTATGGGGGCAGAGAAGAGGCTGCTGAATAATCCACAGAGGGCTGACACAGCAGAGCTAGCGTGGCAATGGAATGAAAATAAGTAGATATTCGAGAAGCACAGGTCTGGTACAGATGACAGGGATGTACAACCACATATGAAATGGTGAGGGAGGTTACTGAGTGTGACTATTATATGTGAACACTTAGTTGGAATCCATAGACTGCCTGGCTTTTGCTACTTAAGACTTTATTGTGGTTATTATTCACATCCTGCATCTAGCCCTTGTTTTAAACTTTTAAACACCCTTAAGGTAAGTGGGAGAGTTATTTCAACCCATCCTCCTTTTACAGATGACAGAATGAAGGCTTGGAGGCTGTGACCTGAACAGGGGAGCCAACTAACTAGTGCAGAGATGGGACAAGAAACTGGTGGAGTCCTCATTATGCACTCAAACGAAACAGGAAGATAGCTCAAAACATTTCTAGTGGCATGTTTCTGGGGCAAATCGGACACAGTTCACAGAACTTTACACTTGAGCTTTGATGGAAGGTGGTTTGCTGATAACGCCTGTTCCAAAAGCGAATGGAAAGCTCCCACACTGCTGAATTTGTTTAAATGGATGCGCGAGAGTTAAGTCTCACACCTTTGGTTGAACTAAATGACCCTTAGCAGGTGCTATTTTTAGACCTCAAGCTTTCACATCATAAAGTTTAAAAAAGAACTATTTGTCTGAAAAGCAGGTAAAGAAATTCATTGACAAGGGCTTAGATGTTTTAGGACTTTAATGTTCTTCACATATTCAACATAAAATACTGACAATAGGTTAACAATAGGGGGAAGACTTTTCAGCAAAGTATCACTCTCATCATCAAACATTACAAAGAAAACAGTCAAGAGAACAGAGGATAAGGTAATTTAACAGAAATGTTTAGTTTAATGGCATAATTAAACAAACAACCAATCAATTTTTTCTTCTACCAATGGAAAGAAGGGTAAAAATGAATCAAGAACTTCTAGCTCTTTTTCATAAAACAGCTTAAAAGAGGAAGGGGAAGACTGAGAAGGGAATGCAACTGTTGCTACTGGAATGCTATAATGCACAAGGTCAAGGATTTAATAAGTTCTGAAAGTCTCTACGTGTATCAGTGATAACTGTATTATTAGAAATACAAATGCATAGACATATAAAGTATATGGTATTAAAAACAGACCTTGCTAATATAAACATATATAAAATATGTCACTTCTCTTGTAATAACAGTAAAAAGCTGGATCTACAGTTTGCCCTTTGCCTGGTACTCCTAAACCATTCCCCAAATCGTCAGTGTTGACCTTGAATCAACAGCCACTGAACCCATAAACCCCCATGGAAGACATAGCTGCATTATACTCAAAGCTGGGGAATTATGCAAAGGGTTTCATAAGCAACAGGAGGAAGGCACATCCTTGTAACAGCTGGGTTGGCCTAAGAAAGTATATAACTGCTACTCCAAGCTAAGCAGACTCCTATGGATTTGTTTTATTCTGCATTTGAAAGACTAAGCCAATTCTTTGCCAAGCCCACAGATGTCTAGACTCAGCACCTAGAGGGCCCCACCTACCCTCTGTGCTGTGTGTTCCTATGACTCCAGAAATAATTGCAGTTTGCATTATTAAGTTCATAGGTAAGTTTGAAATCTAACTAGAAAAAGTAGCAGCAAAGGCAAAATAAGCTGGAATTTGTTAGAAAAGCAATGGGAAGATTTCTTAAAATGCTGCCAGTTCAAGTCAGAATTAAGGCGAACATTAGGTCCCACCAGCTTTGCAGAGCCATAGGTGCTTTGCTGCTGCTCATAATAAATATGTTAATTTGAGAAAAATACTGTTTGTTAACTTTTTGTAGCCATCCCCAAGTTACTTTAAACTTTGTATGTCGTTCAAGAACAGAGCATATCCTGGTTAGGATGTGTTCATAGCTGATGCATCTCCAAAAAATTTTTCATGAAGGTGGCCAGCTTCTGAACATCTTCAATCGTGACAGCATTATACAGAGAGGCCCGGATGCCTCCCACAGACCTAGAATGATGAAAGATCCAACCATTATGAAGAAAAACATCTAATTTAGCACCAAAATGACATTTTCTAGCCACCAGCTCCTGAGAGTTGCAGCACCTGAGACCATTGTGTCCAGTCTCCCAACTAAAAACTCCAGACAGGTGGTACAGAGCTTCATGCCTCTCAGTCATCATAAAATTCTCCCTTAAGCTGTGAAGGTTCACCATGCTCACATTTAACCTAGAGTCATTCGAACTACTCACTCTTGGCAAAGAAAGAAAACAAGATGCAGGGAAGAAAAGATAAGCTGGAAGAAGATAGTGATTCTTGCTCACCATTCATGAGCCTCCTGTGACACTGCCATCAAGATGGGGGCCAGGCATCTCCCTGTTGCTATTCTTATGTAAGGACATTTATTTTTCATACAGCATGCAAGACTGGCTATGCAATTTGATATTCAGAGGGAATAATGATATTCTACCTCCAAACCAGAGTGGGGCTGGCCTCAGCAGAGATGGAATGGCAACCTCTGTGCTATACAAGCAGTGTAAGAGATTTTCAAAGGTAATTCTGCCAAAACCCCAATGGAAGATGTAGTTCCATTATACTCTCAGCTGGGGAATTATGCAAAGGGTTCCATAAACAACAGGAGGAAGGCATATCCTTGTAATAGCTGGGTTGGCCAAACAAATTACATAATTGCTTCTCCAAGATAAGCAGGCTCCTATAGATTTGTTTTATTCTGCATTTGATAAACTAAGCCAATTCTTTGCCAAGTTTGTGGACTGCAGATGTACTCACCTATGCCCTTTCAAAGATAACATATTGAGTTCAAGAGCTTTATCGAGAAATCTTTTTTCTAAAGCATCATCTCCTTTGGCATTGCCAATGCGGAATGGAATATTCATCTTGCTTCTATTCTGCGGCTCCACTGGACATCTGAAAAACATGTTTGTTATTCCAGCTACTTTTCTGAAATGTATAGATTGCCATCAACAAATCAACAGTTTCTTTTTTTTTTTTTTTAGCACTTCCTAGATGCACACACAGGATTTTAAAAAAAAAAACAAAATCTGCCCCAGCACATTTGTTTTCTTAGGGAAATCAGACTCTTGCATATGGAACAGTGGGTTATCATCCCCTTGTATGACTTGTACTTAATTTCCATCAGCCTCAGTTTCCTCACCTGGATATTCGGAATAATAGTATCTCCATTTCATTTCAGACAAGTTGTGACAGTTTAGTGGTACTATATATATGAAGCTTCCAACACATGGCAGCCACATGGCAACTGTGACTGACCCCTTTCTCTGCTCTGCAAGCCTGCAGGGAAATAATAAGTTGGTCCTATAGTGGCTGTAAGGTAAAAATAATGAGCAGCAACTTCCAAAGGACTTACTATGGTATACTGCCCCAAGCTGTGTGACCTTGAACAAGTTACTTAACCTCTCTCAGCTGTGCCTCACCTTCCTCATCTGAACAATGGAAATAATAAGGAACCTATGTCAACCACCTCAAATTGTTGTGAGGATTAAATAAGTCAGTGTTTATAGAGAATTTTTGTCGCCCATTTAAAAATAAGAAGAGATGGAATCTAGTTTTCCACGTTTTGAATCTGGGCTGGCCTTGTGACTGGCTTTGGCCAAAAGAGTACAACAGACTCTTCAACTTCCAACGCTAGGACTCAAGAGATCTTACAGCCTCTCTTCCCACTTTCTCTCTCTCTCTTTTTTTTGAGACAGAGTTTCACTCTTATTGCCCAGGCTGGAGTGCAGTGGCATGATCTCAGCTTACCACAAGCTCTGCCTCCTGGGTTCAAGTGATTCTCCTGCCTCAGCCTCCCAAGTAGCTGGAATTACTTGTATGCGCCACCACACCCGACTAATTTTGTATTTTTAGTAGAGAAAGGGTTTCTCCATGTTGGTCAGGCTGGCCTCAAACTCCCAACCTCAAGCGATTTGCCCACCTCAGCCTCCCAAAGTGCTGGGATTACAGGCGTGAGCCACCACACCCAGACTCTTCTCACTCTCTTAAAATATTGCTGTCACTTAAGCATGTTTGAAATAACAGCATGCTGAAGATAAGTGTCCCAGCCAACAGCCAGCACCAACTGCCAGATATGTGAAACCACTGTAGACCATCTGGCTCCAAATGAATAACCAGATGATGACTTCAGTCGAATGAGGCATCCCAAGACCAGCAGAAGAACCCCCCAGCTGAGCTCAGCCCAACCCGCTGACTTAAAGAACCATGAGGAAGAGAATGGTGGTTGTTTTCAGCCATTAAGTTTTAGGGTGTTCTATGATGCAGAAATAAATAACTGACACAATTTAAAACTGTGGCTGGAACATTAAATACTATATAAGCAACTGTTAATACATTTATATTTTAAAAAAATTTTTATTTTTAATTTTTCTGGGTACACACACGGTAGGTATATGTATTTATGGGAATAAATTCATCTTTTTATTCCCAGCACCTTGCATAAGGCACATACAGACTCTCAAAAATGATTATGAGTGAATTTTTGTCTAGAAAAGATTCATGTTTGACTTCAGTTTCTGCTTTGGAAAATAAGCAGCCAAAATTATTTTTCACAGACAATCAAAGGAGATAAATGGAAAAACAGCTGACATTACTCTGCAATTAAAAAAAAAAAGTACAGTAGGTAATAACCCTCTCTTTCCCTTTGCCCAAGTATATCCTATTTTATTCTTATACTTTCATGGGGTGGAATTCATTAAAATTACAGCAAATGAAGGCAGTGTGAGAGGCGCCCTGAGGCCATATCTGTAATTCTTGCTAGAGTTAATGAAAGTCTAGTACACACCTTCAAGCAAGAGAGAGGCCAAAAGGGGGACCAAATATGTGGAAAGGACTTTGAGCCTGAATTCCAGGCCCCACTGTTCGAAGTGGTAGGTTTCACAGCTGACACTGAAATTAAACATTCAGCAGCTACCCTCTTTTGATATTCCACTGCCTCAGGCTCCCTATGTGAGGCTCCAATCAGAGAGGTGGAGCAACTAAAAGCACATTTAATTTAAGAGAAAAAAATTGGCCGGCATGGTGGCTCACACCTGTTATCCTAGCACTTTGGAAGGCTGAGGTGGGAGGAGAGTTCAAGACCAGCCTGGACACAATGAAACCCTATCTCTACTGAAATACAAAAGAAATTATCTGGGCGTGGCAGTGTGTGCCTTTAGTCCCGACGACTTGGGAGACCGAGGCAGAAGAACTGCTTGAACCAGGGAGGTGGAGGTTGCAGTGAGCCGACACTCCAGCCTGGGTGACAGAGCAAGACTCCGTCTCTACCAATAAATAAATAAATAAACAAATAAATAAATAAATAAATAAAGGGAGAGAGAAATTGAAAGCAGGAAGTATTAAGTATCTGTATTTACAGTTCCTCTCCCTACAATTTACCCATCTTATCGTGAAAGCAGAAGATCTCACAAAGCAATAATGTCATAAAAGCAAGAAATTAAAGACTAAATTGTTATGCAACAAATATTTATGCACTACCCATGGGAGAATGTCTTCAGTATGGGACTGGAGGGAGAAAAAAAAGATTAAGGGAAATTATCAGCTCCTAGTCTACAGAGAGATGGCTCCAAAGGGAATCACGATTACTATACATAACAAAGGTTGCAAGGGCAGAGAAGCCAGATAAGGAATTCTGTGGAGCCAAGGCTGGCAGGGTTTCAGGGGAGGGGATGCAGACAGGTTACAATGGATGAGAAGAAGGAAGGGCATCTGGCAGACAGCTGCATCTGCAAAGGCACAAAGGCTTCGAGCAAGTCCGCTGATTTAACTGGAGCGCTGGCTTCCCGGCTGGCGTGGCTGGGAAGACCCACAGGGCCGGGGATGTGGAGTACCCTGTGGGGAACTGAACTGGATCCTTGAGCAATGAGGAGTAATCTGCTTTCTACAACAAAAGGTGGTCTGTGTTTTAGAAAAACAATTGTAGCACACACAGGAGACAATGGAGGGAAGAAACCGGGAAGCCCAGAGACCTGCTGGAAAGCTCTTATAAAGAACTTTCGGAGAACGATCCAAGATGGCCGATCGCTAACATCCCAGGATTGCAGCTCTCAGGGAAGGCGCGGAGAACTAGAGGACGCCACACTTTCAGACAAAGTCTGGTCGCTCACGGAGCAGAAGATCCCCCAGTGGTGGAAACACAGGAGTCGCCAGTGCGACTCTCGTGGTCGGCGCAGCGGTTCCGCCGGCACCTCGACGCAGCAGCGCTCAGCGCAGAGTAAACAGGACCGGTTCCCCTTCTGACCGAGGTTTGGAGCCCTGGGAAGGCAGAGTCGCCTACAACGGAAACAAGAAGGAAGCCCGACAGGAGAATCCTGGGCAGAAAAGCACCATCAGTTTTAACGCCGCTGCTCTGCTGGCCCTGGGAACTAACAACCTGGACGTCCACTCAAGAGACCTAATCTGAAAGTTGGTAATTTCAAAGACGACAGGAGGATAAATTTACAATGACGGGAAGAAACCAGCGTAAAAAGGCTGAGAATACTCAAAGTCAGAACGCCTCTCCCTCTAAAGATGATCACAGTTCCACATCAACAATGGAACAAGGCTTGATGGAGAACGAGCGCATCCTGATGACAGAATCACTCTTCAAGGAATGGATAATAATAAACTTCAGTGAGTTAAAAGAACATGTTGTAGCCCAACGTAAAGAAACTAGGAACTTTGAAAAAAGGTTTGATGAAATCCTATTGAGAATAGACAACTAAGAGAGGAGTATGAGTGAATTAATGGAACTGAAGAATACAATACAGGAACTCCGAGAAGTATGCACAGGTTTAAACACTCGAATTGTTCAAGCAGAATAAGGGATATCAGAGGTCAAAGTCCAACTTAATGAAATAAAACGTGAAGAAAAGATTAGAGAAAAAAGGATAAAAAGGAATGAGCAAAGTGTCCAAGAAATGTGGGACTATGTGAAAAGACCAAATTTACGTTTGATAGGTATACCTGAATGCCACGGAGAGAATGAATCCAAGCTGGAAAATACCCTTCAGGATATTATTCAGGAAAATTTTCCTAAACTAGCAAAGCAGGTCAACATTCAACCCCAGGTAATACAGAGAACACCACAAAGATATTCCTCAAGAAGAGCAACCCCAAGGCACATAATCGTTAGATTCACCAGGGTTGAAATGAAGGAGAGGATACTAAGGGCAGCCAGAGAGAAAGGTCAGATTACCCACAAAGGCAAGCCTATCAGACTTACAGCAGATCTCTCGGCAGAAACTCTACAGGCCAGAAGAGAGTGGGGGCCAATATTCAACATCCTCAAAGAACAGAACCTTCAGCCCAGAATTTCATATCCAGCCAAACTAAGCTTCACAACTGAAGGAAAAATAAAATCTTTTATGAACAAGCAAGAACTCAGAGATTTTATTACCACTAGGCCTGCTTTACAAGAGCTTCTGAAAGAAGCATTACACACAGAAAGAAACAACCAGTATTAGCCTTTCTAAAAATACACCAAAAAGTAAAGAGCACCAACATAAAAAAGAATTTACACCAACAAATGGATAAAACAGCCAGTCAACATCAAATGGCAGTAACCCTAAATTTAAATTGACTGAATTCCCAATCAAAAGACACAGCCAAAACCCAACGGCATGTTACATCCAGACCTGTTTCACATGCAAGGATACACAAAGACTCAAAACAAAGGGATGGAGAAAGATTTACCAACCAAATGGAGAGCAAAAATAAATAATAAATAAATAAAAAGCAGGAGTTGCAATTCTTGTATCGGATAAAATAGATTTTAAAGCAACAAAGATATAGTGGTAAAAGGATCAATGCAACAACAAGAGCTAACGATCCTAACACCCAGATAGGAGACTTAGATTCAATGAGACAGAAAATTAATAAGGATATCAAGGACTCGAACTCAGATCCAGAACAAG